AAATCCTCGCGGTGCTTCACCCACTTTTCGATCGGTGGTGACCTGCGCATGGCGCGGCGGTTCTGCGCTCTCGCCCAAGACGAGGGGAGAGCGTGGGCGGGCGGGCGCACATCTTGGGCGCAGGCTTGAGCGACGACATCTTGGGCCGAACGACACAAAACGTCGGGATATCGATCTGGCCGGCGGGCGTGCTGCAGCGCCGGGGAGCCGGGAGATACGAAAAGAATTTTAGCACGCGCACTTCCGTCACGACCTTGGGAAAATGCCTTCATGGATCCCTTCATCGCGTTTCGGGAACTCCCGACGATGCGCCTCGTTTCGTACTAGAGTTGCACCAAAGCAAGGGAGGCGCGCCGCGCACATTAGGTCTATCGTCGCAATGCTACTGGCACTGGCGGCGGCGGCGCTCGCGTCCGCGTCGGCGGAGACCGAGGGGCACGTCTGTATCAAGAGCGCCACCAACCTCGCTGAGCATGTGGACAGCTGGCCCAAGAAGCCCGCGCCTGAGGCCTGGGTCAAGGTCGAGCTGGGCGGCCGCGTCCTGTGCAAGACTGATGAGGTGTGGGCGCCCGGCAAACTCCCCGCCCACAGCGTCCTCCCACCATCCACACCCTCCCCCTCCCCCCCCCCCCCCCGCCTCGCCCGCAGGTGGAGAACAACCTCAGCCCTGTGTGGGACCACTGCTGCTCCGTCGGTGGCATGCACCAGCACACCTGGTACTGGTTCTGGCGCAAATGGCCGAGGGTTCCGTCTCTGCCTTTGCGCCGCTCGTGGTCGCCGTCATCGCCGAGGAGGTCTTTGGCGTTTCCGACCTAGAGGTTGACGTCAGCTGCCTGACGGACGATCAGCAGGCGAACAACGTGAAGGGGCTCGGGGACGCCATTTTCTCCGTCTGCTGCGTCGGCTGGGGGCTGTGCTGCATCGTCGTCTTCGGTTTCTACTACTTCTACCCCCGCGAGTCGCGGGCGCTCAACCCACACCTCGTCGCCCCCACGCGCAAAGTCTCTTCGGACGTCGACGGCGAGCTCTCGACAGATGCAGTTGCACCGGCAGAGACGGCCAAGCCCCAGGCGGCGGGATCGGGCGCGGGTGCGGAGGAGGCCATTTAAAGTATAGCAAGTGGGCCCCCCGTTGCGTCGGGGTCTCCGCGAGGTACCGACGTCAGAGGCGCGGCTGTGTGCGCGGGCGCCCCGCGGCGCGCCGGCCCGTGTGCCGCGAACATGCTCGAAGCTTGATTGCGATGCTTCCGATGCAGATATTGCACATGCAGTGCATACGGCGGGCGACGTCGGTCTCACCCCCGATCCCCTGCTCTCGGCTCTCTTGCGTTCTTGAGGCCAGTGCGCCACCGAAAACGAGGAAACTGTATTTGTATGAGATTTGGACTCGATCCTTCAGCCCACGGGGATACTGGGCTGGGTTTTTAGGCATTGTGGGGTTGGCACTCCCATCGACCCTCATGACCTCCTGCGGTCTCTGAGATGGACACCAGTGGGTGTGGGACCACAGCCAGGGTACACTCGAAGGCTGGGTAAGCAGTACCCGGTAGAGGTCGATACTCGGCGTCCCACATGGTCTGTGTCGCTGTCGGCACGCTGTCGACACAGGCGTCGAGCGACACCGGTGGCAGTGCCACCCAGGAGTGGTCGGGCGGTCTCCCGTCATGAGAGAGCCACCATGTGATCCGTATGATGATTCCTGACAACCGCCTCAGTCAACTTTCGTCACAGTTCCCGCTCTGAGAGGAGCTGCGGGTCAGTTCGACAGCTGGAGCTGTGTCGTCGGCGTGCGGCGGCCTGCCTCCGGAGGTGCCTCTGAGGTGGACATTTTTTGGTCACCGTGAGAGAACGCGTTCGAATTTTCACTCCGGAACTTCAACTCCACACGCGCACCGGCCAGGGCTACAATAGTGCCAGTGAGGCGGAGGCGCGAGTCGGAAGGCCGCGACCGTCAAGTGTTCCCCCAATTTTCCTACAATCGCTGTGGACCCAGCCACGTACTCTCGGTGAATGCGGGCGTGGCCACCGGCGGCGGAGCCGGAGCAGGGGCAGGAGCGCAGCAGCGGGAAGCGGGGCGCGCGTCAGCCTCAGCTGTCGGCGGCGCTCGCTCGAGCGCTGCTGGCGAGGGCGCGCCGAGAGCGGACGTCGGCGAGGCGCGAGGGAGGGGAGGATGTCGGCGAGGGGGTGGACAGACCACCATCTCGGTTTTTTTCTCTACGTTAGTCGAGTACGTTCCCGAAACCCTTCCTCAACAATGATACGCCTCTTGCCACTCTCGAATCCGCCCACGCAGCGCGTGGTTTGGGGTGAGGATGCTATGGAACACATGCGAAGATGGTATAGATGCGTTGACAAAGAAACGTTCAAGCCCATTTATTGCATTTTGGGTGGACGTGGGTGGGGAGTGGGGTGGCGTGTCTGAGCTTGTCGAC